CTCTCCAACAGGTAATCCGTGGTACAAATCACCAAGAAGCCTGTGTGGTCATAAATAAGCAAATACTAAATGTAACGAGAAGAAAACCTTCCACTCTAACAAGCTGCAAGGACATTTCAAAATTGTGTAACAATCAGGTTTGTCAAAAAGAAACAGAAACCTCAAGGAAACAGGACTATTTCTTGTACCTTTTCTTAAAATCTTAATCCCCCTAAGCATGAACAGAACTGTGCTCATCCAGCAATCTTTCCCCCGAGATGTACCCTTCCTTCATCCACCCCACTGAAGGCTGCCCCACACAACTACACATGCACGTGGACAGAATACCACATGAGTAAAAACTGCAGTGCACACCAGAGGATTTTAGCCTCTTATTCTGAGGGGATACAAGCTTCCAGAGCCAATACAGCAAGTCCATGTATCATCTGGCACACACCAGACACTGACAGAATGCTGCCGTGAGCAGAATRTGGTTCTGGACTACACCTTTACCAGGGGACCACGGTTCTCATTAGGGAGACAGAAATAAAAGGCTGAGTGGTAATAAAAAGAAAAATAGGAAAACAAAGTGTGGCATGACCCACTTCATAATAAAATGGACAATTTAATAGATATTCTTGGACACACATAAAACAGGGATCCAGCTCATGCTCCTTTCTCAACACAGATGGGAGCTTTGCCACAGGCTGAGATGGGATGAGCTCCAGTCTAACACGTGCACCACATGCAGCAAGCGGGTTCTGGTGGGAATCTAGGACTTGCCTGTCATTATACAGAAGGTAAAACAGTTTTTATCTGTAAATTGCTAATGCATGTCCAGCTCTACTATGGGGTATTCAACATATACACAGTAATGAACACTCCTGCTGATTTAAGGCACGGGATGACMTAGGAGAATAAAGTAGCTTTGAACAGAACATTCTTGGTTCTGCCCTTCAGAAGCAAGTTCCTGAGCTCAGTCTGGCCATCTTCTGTGCTCTTGGTAAAGCAGTAGTGCAGCAAGACAAAGCTAATCATCCCTTTGGTAGTTTTYCACAAGATGATTATTTAGATAGTAAAGAGTTCCTAAAATTCTTTCACAAATGACATATTTGCCATACTTCCCAGAAATCAGGCCAATTCTCTCTCTACTTACCATATGTTTACAGACTAGGTTTTTTTGCATGCTCAGACACTAGTCAATAAGCCAGAGGAAGAACTGAGCATATGTAAATGAGTAGGATGTTCTCGTGGTTACATGATTACTGAAGCAATCACAAGAGGACTTTTATTCTGGTTCTGCTACAATTCACTGCCTGAATGTGGTCAAGTCACAGACTCCAGTTGAGTTCATTCAGTTTTCCCACTGAGAACCTGGAAAGCGGTGACAGGCAGGCACCACCATGCTCCATGCCCCAGAAAAACCTGGGAATATCTGGAACTCCTCCCAGAGCCCGTGCCAGGGTGCAGTGGACGCTGTAACCCAACCCAGGGCTCGCAGGGTATCCCCAAGGCAGCCCTGTCCGGGAGCCATTCCAGACGTGGCAGCACGTGTCAGGTTGGAGCTATCCAGACTCCCTGGAACCAAAGGCTTAGTCCCTTGGCAGGATTAACACAGCCCTTCACCCTCAGAAACAGCATAGAATTCTCTCATCAAAATGTTAACCAAGGAGCKCCTATGAAAACCTCCCAGCTCAGTCTGTGATAATCAAAGTACAAGATCAGGAACATAYTACCTCATTTCTCAGTCTGGGGAAGACTTAAAAAAACCCTTCCTGTGGATCACAGCCAAGGCAGCTGTACCTTTACCTGACCAACCTTTGCTATTTGCAGCAAATTACCCTTGAAACATACCATTTGTTCCAAAAAAGTAGAGTACAAGATAGGAGCACAGATTCCACCAGAAGAGAAGGAAGTCTTACAGACAAAGGAGAGCTGCTGCTCARAAAGGCCTGCTGGTGGGGTGTCTTATCCATCCCATAGCCAAACATGGCCTTAGCCCTACACTCAATGAAATACACTTCTAAGCAGAGAAACATCTGATGTTTTTTGAAGGAAGCTGTGGAAGAGAAATTTAAAACTAAACTCCTGGTCATCCCTAAGAGTTCATTCAGGAGGTGACAATACTCAGGCAAGTTGCTGCCAGATTCACATCACACCTAAAAACAAAAGCTTGTTCTTTTCCTCAAGAGTCTTCCTCCTTCCTTTCCTCCTTCCCTTGTCATGACATTTTATACACGAGGCTGGCAGGTCCTGCCCAAAACCACTCTCCATGTCATTTTAGGCCATTCAGCAATCCCAGCAACCACTCTGCAGACCAGCTGAGCATAGGGACGCAGCTCCCACTCCACTATTCCCTGTGAGGCTGTTATCCAGGATGCTCTGTTGTATCCCAGATCCACCAGCTTAACAGCTTCAACACTGCAGCCACAGCTAATTCCACATGAGGGTGTGGGCTGCAAACTCTCCCAAGTATTTCATTTTATTACATGTGAAATGGACACCACCTGTAAGAGGAGACAGAAAATAGACACCCGACAGACTGTGTGCTGGTCCCTCCCTGGGCACTGGGTTGGGCCTCTCTCCTTCACTGAGCTGTTGGTTTTCCTGAAGGGTCAAAGAACCTAATAATCATCAAGGCTTTAACCTCTGCCAGATTTGTTGTATTAACCTATAAATACTGGCTTAGGATTAGCCAAGGGCTTTCAACACTTTAGTGACTGAAAATATCTAGTAAACATACAACAGGACTACAAGAGTTTCATTTTTTAGAGAAAATAAGCCCAAACCAACAAGAAGGAAACTGAGGGTCATGCCAGGGCAGGGCAGGTCTGGCCCACATGGGGCTGAAGTGAGAGGAAAGCTCCTGGCACTTCACTAAAGGCTCGATTCAGCTCAGCACACTGCTCTCCACTGTCACCCCCAGCTGCCCACTACCCTTCCTCTTCCACTTTAGCTGACATCTGACATCTTCAGGGGATGCGCTTCAACATTTGCGTGCCATTAAAACACATAAAAAATGAGTCTCAACGTCAAAGAGAAATGTGTGTATATTAAAATACATTCACTGATAATAGCTGCCYGTGAAAACACTGGAAGACACTTTGGTATTTAATTAGAAGAAAGCACAAGACAGGAGGCACTACTGCCTGGTGTGGGATCATTAAAGCACACAGGCTTTGGTGGAGCAGAGTAAYACTCAACTAACAGGCAAGATCAATATGCACCACTCTTCCTCAGCTCTGCTCCAACCCTCTTCAAAGGAAACCTTTATGAGCTAAAATTTAAAAGCATATTACCCTCCCTCACCTGCTCTCTTGCCGTTTCTTTTCTGAGAGCTTGTTATTCAGCAGGGAAGTTCAACAGGACACAAGAAGACAATGAAACCTGTCCACAGCAGGAGGGTTGAAACTAAATGAGCTTCAAGGTCTCTCCCAACCCAAACCATTCCATGGTTCTATGATTCTCTGCAGCATCACMGCACCTACATCTTCCTTCTGGAAGCAGACAGTTTGCTCAAAGTTTTCTCTATAGCACTAGAGTTTTATAGAAAATGTAAAACCATCAATTTAAAGTTTGAGGAACTTCTTCCAGGAAGAGCTCAGGCAAGAGGGTTAAGCATTCATCAACATGGATGAAACGCGTTGTTTTGCCTCTCCTTTAGATCTCCAAAACCATCATCTGATGCTTCTATCAGCACAGAACAGGAATACCAAGCTTCAAAATGCCATTCCTGCAAATCTCTTCTTGCCAAAAATGACAAATGATTCCTTTTCCACAGATAACTCTACACCCCTGTGTCATCTCAACTACCTCATGCAAAGTGAGGATCACCAGCACTCTGCAATCGATTACAGCCGTAAGAGATCAGCCCAATGGCCTATCAAATTTAATCCCCAAGACAGAATCCCACGCCAGGAAACATATCCAAAACCCATCTAAGAAAAGAAGTCTTTCCATCAAACTCAGCAGGCTTTGAATTGAACTGCTAAAAGAGAAAAAATAATAACAACCCAAATTGAAACTTGTACCCCCACACATCTAAAGGCAGTTGCAGTGGCATGAGGCTGAGGKAGCTAGAAATTGTGCCAGGAGATTGATAGCCTCTTTACTTCAATGCCTGTAAACATTTTCTTAAAACAGATTCATTGAACTGTTCAGATCARAAAATATGAAAAAGTGAGGTATGTGACTTCATTATCTGGATATATGATATATTCATAAGAGTTTCATTATTACATGCTTGATCCCCTTACCGGGGCAGTTGCTGAATATGCAATAAAAACTCTATTCTTATTATCYGTGTGTTACTTTACCCTTTCAGTGCTGTCAGGCATTGTTCCCGAACTGTGAAAAGGCAAAATRGAACAACACTCTGCTCATCAACTTTCACAAGTGCTGCAGACTTACTGCTTAACTAAGCAAAAGCCAAGTTCTGCTGGCTGTATCTCTCCAAGGTGTCACCTCTGCCTTTCCCTATGAAGCGCTCCTCAATTCCTCTGCAAGATGAGTCTTCGCAAGTCAGAACTCACACCGAATTCACCACCCGCCTGCGGACCCCAGATCTGGTCACTAAAACACGCCTGCCAAACTATCCGGCCACTGATCCGTGTTCGGCGAAAGGGACCCTTCCCGTGAGGAATCCCCTGCCTCAGGTGCTCTGCARAGGGATCGCACAGGTCTGGAACGCCGCGATGGAAACCCCGGCGCTAGCGGTGGAGACGGATGAGCGACATCTGCACAGTGTAAAAGSGCAGGAGCCATCCCGCTCTCCTTTGCTGGGCAATGTTGAGTTATTTCGGCCAGCGGCGTGCCCAGCGCGCTYCGCTCCCGGCTCCGTGGGCACAGGGAAGCGGCGCAGCTCTGAGGGAGCCGGGGCGCACCGCTGTGCTCGGCAGCGGCACCGGAGCGGGGACACCCCGGACCCGGGCTGAGGCGAGCCCGGCCCCGCAGCCCCGAGCCCCCACAGCCCCGTCCCCTCCCGTCGCGGAGCGGCCACCCGCGGGTGRCTCGGTACTGACCGGCCGTGGGCACGTCGGGGACCAGCTTGAGGGGCCCGATCTGTCGCAGCTGGAACGCCGTCCGCACTTCGTGGCAGCTGGGTGACCTGGCCGCAGCCAGCGCGCCGCACAGCAGGCACAGCCCCAGGACGGCGCGGCTCCCGCCGCCG